GGCCGCGTCCGGCGGCGTTGACGACTTGGAGGCCGCGTCCGGCGGCGTTGACGACTTGGAGGCCGCGTCCGGCGGCGTTGACGACTTGGAGGCCGCGTCCGGCGGCGTTGACGACTTGGAGGCCGCGTCCGGCGGCGTTGACGACTTGGAGGCCGCGTCCGGCGGCGTTGACGACTTGGAGGCCGCGTCCGGCGGCGATGACCACTTGGAGGCCGCGGCAGGCGGCGATGACCACTTGGAGGCCGCGGCAGGCGGCGATGACCACTTGGAGGCCGCGGCAGGCGGCGTAGACGACGGAGAGGCCTGTGGCTCTGCTGCGGCGGTGGCAGGGACTGACTCTTCTGCTGCGGCAGGAACTGACTCTTCTGCTGCGGCAGGAACTGACTCTTCTGCTGCGGCAGGAACTGACTCTTCTGCTGCGGCGGCGGCAGGAACTGACTCTTCTGCGGCGGCGGCAGGAACTGACTCCTCTGCGGCGGCGGCGGCAGGAACTGACTCCTCTGCGGCGTGCAGTGTGGATGGTGGGTCTACAGAGGCAGGATCATGGTCTATTTTTGAAGTTCTGAGTCCAGCAAGAAGCTGCTGATATTCCGGAAGCTGGATTAAACCGGGTTGGGATAGTAAAAAATTTTCGGCAAGGGTGAGCAAAAAATCTAGACAGTCCGGGTTATCTTTAGCAGAACAAAAAAGGCTTTGCAGAGTGTGGTTTATTTGGGCTAATTCATGGGGTGAATACGTGATTGATGGGCCAGTGTCTTTAAGTGAGGGTGTGGAGTCAGGTGTCGCCCCCACCGGAAACTTGAGAGGTGGGGCGGCGGAACACGCCCCCACCGAGTCACTTGTAGCATGCCCCATAGGTATGGACTGGCCGGGTTGGACAGCCGCGGCGCGATGTGACGGCGAGAGGTCGGACTCCGCCCCCACCAAGAACCTGGAGGGTGAGGCCACGAAATCCGCCCCTGTAACGTCAACCGGACTGGACTTACCGAACCGAGCAGGAGTGGACCGGAGCTCCCGCGGGACGCTGGATCTCGCCCCCACCGGAAACCTGGGAGGTGAGGCGGCGAACCCCGCTCCCACAAAAACACCGGAACCAGCTCTGAAGTTCTGCTCGGCAGCGACCGGGCCGGGCGCCGCAGACTGCCTCCGGAACCGTCCACCGCGGCGACGGCGGCGGGACGGTGGATGGACGGAGACGGAGAGGAGCTCGTCCATCAGGCACGAGGAGGGAAAAAAGAAAAAAGGTGAGTGTGCCGAGAGAATCCTGCCCGCTGGGTTCTAATGTGTGGTCGGGTCGTAATGTCAGGATCAGGTGGACAGGAACGAACCCAGTTCTGCAGACAGGACTCAACTCGGCAGATTATAAAAAACTAAATACTTTAATGACGAAATAAAAGGTAACAAAACAATAAGCTGACGTGGCAGCAAAACTTACATGGACTAGAAGACTCAGGGAGAAACTCACAAGGACTCAGGAAGCTCAGGGAAAATTCAGAAGACGCAGGAAACATGAAGACCCAACGAATACGACCCGACAAAGGAACAACACAGAACAGGAGGCTTATATACAAGGACGAGACAAGACGTGATTACAACAGGTGTGACGAGACAAGGGTGGCAACAATTAAACTGACGAGGAAACACTAGGGAAACACAGACACAAACAGAAACAGCAAATGGTACCATCCTTACAGTCCAGGATGTACCCCGCCCCTCGCACAGTGATTGCTGGACATGGGCACCAGCGACCCCCGTGACCCAAAATGGAATAAACGGGTAAAGATAATGGATGGATGGATGGATGGATGGATGGATGGAAAAGTTGTTTAACTTCCATAATTCCATTCAAAACTTAATCTTTAATAGATGATAGATTCAGGGCCGACAATTTAAATGATTTCAAGTTTTTATTTGTTTATTTTTACATAATTTGGGCTTCCAGCTCATGAAACCCACAAAAACAGGGATTCAAAAAATAAGAATACTGTGAAGACATCAGGCCACACTACTTCCCAGTTTTTGCAGAAAAAAAGAAAGAAATTAGGATCACAACAAATCAATCAAAATATGATACTTTCAAAACGATATGTCAATCTCAGTACTTGTTGGGAATCCCTTTGTCTTAATCACTGCCTCGATGTGACGTGGCATTGAGTCAATCAGCCTGTGGCATTGACTGGGAGTTATGGAAGCCCAGATTTCCTTGATGCTTGCTGTCAGCTCTTCTTTGTTGTTGGTCTGGTGCTCCTCATTTTCCTCTTGAGAATACCTCATAGATTCTCAATGGGGTTTAGGTCTGGTGAGTTGGCTGGCCAGTCAAGCACTGTGGCATGGGCATCAAACCAGGTTTTGGTGCTTCTGGCGGCATGGGCAGGGGCCAGGTCCTGCTGGAAGATGAAATCTGCATCTCCATACAGATCCTCAGCAGAAGGAATCATGAAGTCATCTAAAACATTCTGGTAGACTGTTGCGGTGACCTTGGATTTAAGAAAGCAGAGTTTACCAACACCTGCACCGGACATTGCACCACAAATAATGACTGACTGGATATTTCATACTGGACCTCAAGCAGTATGGGTTCTGTTCCTCACCCTTCTTCCTCCAAACCCTTGGACCTTGATTTCTGAATGAAAGGCACACTTTACTTTCATCGGAAAAGAGTTGGCTTAGGTTCAGAAGTGGCTTGACCCCAGGAACCCGACAGTTGTAGCCCATCTCCTGGATGCGTCTGAATGTGGTGTTTTTTGAAGCTGTCACTCCCGCCTCATTCCACTCTTTCTGGATCTCTGCCAGATTCTGGAATCTTCTGTTTGATAATCCGCTGAAGCCCACAATCACCTCTTTTGCTGGTGCATCTTCTCCTGCCACATTTTGCCCTTCCACTAGACTTTCCATTTATATGCTTGGAAACAGCACTCTGTGAACAGCCAGCCTCCTGAGCTATGAACTTTTGTGGCTTACCCATCCTATGGAGGGTATCAATGATGGTCTTCTGGCCAGTTGTTACGTCTGCAGTCTTCTCCATGTTGAACCGAACTGAGACAATTGAACCAAACTGAAGCAGTTTAATGATACCTGGGGAAACCTGTGCACGTGCTTTGAGTTTAGTAGTTGATTAGTGCGTCAGTTTACAATATTCATGTCCTGCAAAATTTGGGCCGATTTCTCAACAGTATTCAAATTTTTTGAAATCCTGTTTTCGTGAGTTTCATGAGCTGGAAGCCCAAATTATGTAAAAATAAACAAATACTTGAAATAATTTACATTGTGGGCCCTGAATCTATCATCTATTAAAGATGAACTTTTTGAATGAAATTATGGAAGTTAACTTTTCCATGATATTCTAATTTTTTTTTAAAGGGTCTGTAATTAAATGACTTAATCAGGTGTGTTGGAGCAGGAAAACAACTTAAACATGCAGGATAGTGTTCCTCAAGGACCAGGGTCAAGAACCCCTGGTGTAAATAATATAGATTATGGAGAATAGGTTGAAAAGAGCCAAAAGATAAAAAACACAGTTCAAATGAACTACAACTGACTGCATTTCCATAGCTGTGGTCATTAAACCTAAAAAATACTCAGGCTATCCATCCATCCATCCATTATCTTTACCCAATTATTCCACTTTGGGTCACGGGGGTCGCTGGTGCCCATGTCCAGCAATCACTGTGCGAGGGGTGGGGTGCACCCTGGACGGGCCGCAAGTCCATCACAGGGACACATAGAGACAAACGAGACAAACAACCATTCACTCTCTCACTCACACCTAGGGACAATTTTGAGTTACCAATCAGCCTAACATGCATGTTTTTGGTCTGTGGGAGGAAACCGGAGCACCCGGAGAAAACCCATGCATGCACGGAGAGAACATGCAAACTCCACCCAGAAAGGCCCCTGGACCGGGGTTTGAACCAAGGACCTTCTTGCTGAGAGGCAGCAGCTCTACCAGTTGCGCCACCGTGCTGCCCATACTCTGGCTAGTATAAAATAAATAAATAACAGATTTTGCCATCTAAAAAGCACCTAACACAGGGTTGTATGTCTCTTCAGAATGCAGAGTGATAAAGTCATCAAACAGTCGATCTGTGACTTCAAACCAAATGGCAAGGAGTCCTGGACTTCCACGACGCAGCAAGTCTTCAGGTGCCGGTGAGAGGCACACGATGTGCTCACATTTTACACAAAACCAACAAACTTCTTATGATTACCATGAAATGTGTGTATATACGTCTCTATTTATCGTATATTATATTATATATTGTATATATAAACTCTGTTTGTTTTGGTGTTAAATCTCAGATATTAACATGTTCAATCTAATGAGTATTTTTTTATAGTATAATTCAGACATCTTGATATTTGAACACGTCTTGTTGATTGGGTACTGGTAATTTTGTTTTTTATTCTGTATCTTTACCTAAAAGCTCAGTTTGTTCTAACATTTTTCTGTACACTCAGTGTTTTATAATGTAAGAGCGACTGCAGCCTCCTGTCTTCTGCACGGTTCAACTAGTTTTCACTTGCATTTTATTGTGAGTAGTTTTGAAATATATTTTCCTGTTTCATTTACTTTTTATTTCCAGCAAGACGACCCATGTATCTCTCCAGTCCCACACCGATCAAGTCTCCAGGTAAGGTGAAAGTTTTTTTTTTGCGTTTTGACTTTTATTTTTTTAGATGCCACCATTATTGTTCTTTTAGCTGCTCCCTTCTGTAGGGGTCATCAGAGAGTGAACTCGCATGAAAGGTTTGGTAGATGTTTTACGCAGGATGCCCCTCCTGATGAAGCCTGGGCTCAAACCTGCAGCCTCTGGATCACAAGGCTGCGGCACTTAACCACTGAGCCACTGCAGCTCTGTAGATTCCACTATTGTTTTTTTATGTAAAACTATTACATCTGACGTGCTTTACATCTGGTCCTTCTTTATAAAACAAATTTATATCAACAGCAAATCCAAAATAAATGTATTTTTTTCTTCAAGTGTCCTTATTGTTTATTCAGTAAATGGTGTTTCAGCTGCCAGGATCACCAAGTCCTCCACACCATCTCCTACCAGCCTCCCCCGTGTAAAGGTAAGACTGTTTCACAATTATAACCTACGCTGCAGCAGCTCACTGTAGATGGACTAGATCATAAAGTATTTTTTAAATTTACTTCTATAATGAATCTATAATCTGGCACTTGGTCAGTAATATTGATTATTAACTTTTCATTTTTATTCTGTGTGGGTCTACACAGATTATTGCTAAACCAGGTTAAATGTGTAAGTAGGTCTGTTGCGATAAACAATAAATCAATTAATCGCATGGTAAATGAAAATTATTGACCTCATTTTCATTTATTGGTCTTATTGTTTCTTCGTGTCTCTCTTTCTACTGAAGACACTGGAAGACAAAAGGCTGAACTCCGGTGTTCTTCACTGAACCCTTCCTTTCTCTTTCTCTTTAAAATCTATTTTAACCATCCAAAATCGTGTTTTTGGATGGTTAAAAGCAGCTAAGCTGAGAAGATAAGCTACGAGTTAAGCTAACAGGCCGACCTCAGGAATAAACCTCCGTCTTGTCGAAGCTCCAAATTTCACGGTTGAAACCTGTGCCTTTGTGTAAAAAGTTGTTTTTCTTTGCAAAAAGAAGCTGAGAACTTGTTTACTGATTTTTTTTATTAAAAGCTTTGTGTGAAAAATGCTATGCTAAAGAGCTCAAACCACACAGAGCATCCAACATTTTGAGACCTGACGAGAGACAGCCCATGTCACGTCAAGAGGCCTCCCTCCCATTTTTCTTAAAGACACGCTGCTCGCTCCCTCACTATCCATCCTTCAGCTCAAACTGTCTTATACTGTGGTCAAAAAGGTACTACATGCAAAGCAAATTAACCAACATTTCTTCTTAAATTTGACAGTAATTAATAATTATTCTCAAATTTAAAAAAAATATTGTCGTTTATCGCAATAATTTCTGAGACAGTTAATCGCCCAGCAAAATTTGTTATCGTGACAGGGCTGTGTTTAAGTAAATTAGGCTCTTTCCCCCATGCAGCCTTCTTTCTTGCATGTTTCTTGTTCATCACTACTTCGAAATATATTATTTTTTGATCTGACATGATTCCATTGTGTTTAGGTCAAGCATATATACAATGTGTCTATAAACAATCCTTGTTTAATATTTAAGTGTTTTATTGGTGCAAAGTAATGTAAGTTCTTTTTGTAAAAAAGGCTGTAAGCCAAAACTTCATGTCCTAACTACCAAAATCTGTCAAAGTTCTGAAGCTGCTAACATCTGTGTGTGACCTACTCTGTGTTGTAGCTCTGTCGTGTATTTTTAGCAGAGTTTGAGATATTAATCTGATTTATTGATGGATTCCTCTGTAAGCTGTGTTTTTAAATGATCCAGCCAGCTGGCACACAGATTGCAGCGATGCCCCCATTTCTCCAACAGCTTTGTCAAAGACTGATCCATCCTCATGAAAATGGCAGGATGCCACGTTTATTTTTTTATTTATTTACTGGAACATCTGAGTAATTATATTGATGTTAGTAAGAAACTGCTGTCCTCACATTGACCTTTACCAACTCTGGCTGATACAAAAACAAAATTATCAGGAAATAAACTTTGTTCCCAGTGTAAAATGAATGTTGAAGCTATCCCATCTTGTACTTTGATTCAAAGTCTTGTCTTTTTCAACTAAACATATTAATTTTGTAAAGTTTTTGTGAGCTGGATAACTTAAATAAGTGTTGTGTACCGGCTTCCATTTTGGTGTGTGGCTGCATCGAGGAAAAAGAGGTTCCGATCAAAAAATGGGTTGCCATGTCAAAATCCAAGATTACCACTGCCACATAAAAATGTGCATGCACGCACGCACACACACACACCCACACACACGCACGCACGCACATTCTTATAAATGTACTTTTTGGGGACCTTGCATTATTCATTCAACCTTTTTCGTTCAACCTTTATTTAGACAGGTTAATCCCAATGAGCCTCGAGGACTCATTTACAAGAGAGACCTGATTTCAATAAAGAATGATGACAACAATAGACAATTATAAAAGAGGTGTACAGATTTTTTTTTAAAAATTTAACAAATTAGAATAAAATGGCAAAAGAGTAGCAAAAAGCTAGATTATAAGGCGGATGTAGACAACTAAAAACAGGAACCTAAAAAAGTTAAATCTTGTCCTCTGGACATTCAAAAAACAAAACAAAGCAAAAGGACAACAAAAAATGTAGAAACGTTTCGTCTTTCATCCGAAAGACTTCCTCAGTCTGAGGAGCTGTATTCAGCTCAGTCTTATAAATAGCACCTTCTCAGAGTGGATCAACCAGTTTTGCTGCTGACAACCAAAACCAGCTTTTAGATTTTTCTACCTGGATTACTGAGCATGCATCTGGATAAAACAGGAACATGTCTGCATTGGTCCTTGCCTGGAGTCCAACAGATTCTTAAAGCCACTTAGAGAGGTCAAGGTTGAGAGCTTCAGATCTTTTTGCATGACATTAACCCCCATTCATTTTCTAAAGCGTAACCTTGACCCTTACCCTAAACCTAATCATTACTAGTACTTGCCTAACCCTAACTCATTCGCAATTCACACCTTAGTCCTAAACCTAACCCCTAACCCCCCAACAAGACTTCTCCTTATGGGAACCTAGCTTTGGTAGAGCAGTTGTTCCCACAATGCATGATTTTTTTTTTGTAAAATTGGTCCCTACAAGATAAACAGAAATGCACACGTACATGCACACGCACAATGAACAACATATAAACACAACACTTGTGTTTTTGCTCCCATTTTCATGAGATGAACTCAAAGATCTGAGACTTTTTCTTTGTGCACAATATGACCTTTTCTCTGAAATATTGTTCACAAATTTGTGCAAATCTGTTTTAGTGAGCACTTCTCCTTTGCCAAGACAATCCATTCACCTCACAGGTGTGGCATAACAAAAGGCTGATTAGACAGCATGCTTACTGCACACCTAGGCTGACCACAATAAAAGGCCACTCTAAAATTTGCAGTTTTATCACACAGCATAATGCCACAGATGTAAGTTTTGAGGAAGCATGCAGTTGCCATGCTGATTGCAGGAATGTCCATGTTCAGAGAAGTTAGCAGTACATCCAACCGGCCTCATAACCACAGACTATGTGCAACCACACCAGCCCCTGCATTTGTTGTCCACAACATATAACTGCCCATACCATAACCCCTCTGCCAGCATGGCCACTTGATTCACAACATTGACCTCAGCAAACTGCTCACCCTCACGATGCCGTCTGCCATCTTCCCTGAACAATGAAAACCGGGATTCATCTGACGAGAACACCTCTCCAATGTGCCATACGCCATCGAATGTGAGGATTTTCCCACTCAGGTCAGTTACGACAACGAACTGCAATCAGATGGAGACCCCGATGAGGTCGACGAGAATGCAGATGAGCTTCTCAGAGACGGTTTCTGACAGTTTGTGCAGAAATTCTTTGGTTATGCAAACCGATTGTTGCAGCAGCTGTCCAGATCTGACGATCTTGGAGGTGAAGGTGCTGGATGTGGAGGTCCTGGGTTGGTGTGGTTACATGTGGTCTGCAGTTGTAAAGCTGGATGGATGTACTGCCAAATTCAGTGAAACACCTTTGGAGACGGGTTATGGTAGAATGGTTGGTTATGACAGGTTTCCTTATGGGACAGTAAGGTTTATTCCATCTCCTCTTATGTTTCTGTTTGTTTTACCCCACAGATCCCTCCACCTCACCACCTCTCCTCTCCAAATGGAATTGACACACTAAACAATCACCAGGAGCGAACCAATCAGCTAAATCCAGAGGGTACATTCATGTGGTCTGTTAATGTTTGTGCTTTTTCTTTGTAATTAACCTCAACAGACCTGCTGTGACCTCTTTTCTGTCCCCTGCAGTTAATGGAAACCAGTACTTATTAGCTCCCAGCATCTTGGAAAAATACAACGTTGGTAAAGTCATCGGAGATGGCAACTTTGCTGTGGTTAAGGAGTGTGTGGAGAGGTACGATAGTAACACTGGGAAAATTAAAAGTGACAGTGGACTTCCATGAATAAACAGCATCATCTCATTTTACAAGATGAATTAAAAAAACGGTTCACAGAAGATCCCTAGAGGATTGAAGATGCAATTAAATTGTAGAAACAGAGATATTCCTCTCAAACAAGCCATGGTGTCACCTTGTCAGACTGAGGCAACGAGCTGACCCTCTACCCCACCCCCTCAGACAGACAGGAAATAATGGATGAAGTGGTACAATGGCTCATTATGCTCCTTCATGGACAATACTTAAAGAGACAACATTTAACGTTTGTGATTTTATTGACTAAATGTTGATCATCATCAAACGTTGCTGCAGTGATGTCATCACCCCAGCTGACTTTGGTTATTTTAAAGTTGACTGTTTTCAGTTGGGCTAAGGGAACTGCTCATGTTACTGATGCATCAGATTCTTGTGGAGTTCAAATGCATCTGCACTGTATGTCACAATTTAACCTCCCCTGTGAGCACTTGAATGAATTACAAACTTTATTGCTGCTTTTATTGTTGTCTCTAATTGCCCTGTTTCTCCTTAGGTCCACGGGGAAAGAGTTTGCTCTCAAAATCATCGACAAGGCCAAGTGCCGTGAAAAGGTTTTACTCTTTACTTGTGTTTTTTCCCCCTGTTCATATTATTTTCTCCTAATTCTCTTCCTGAAAACAACACACACACACTCACACACACATACAGTAAAGAAGGATCACGTTTGCGTTCCACTCTGCATTATTAACACTAAAAACACAGCTTAGTATCATGTGTGTTTCCGATCCTCAGACTGAGTTTGTAACTCTTTTGCCTCCCATGGCACTTAAACAGGCTCATGAATGTTAACACTAGTGCACGACCGATTTGGAAATTTTGGCTATCATCAATCCTGATATTTGGGGTGGGGAGGGGGGTATGTGTGACCACTGATAACCAATATAATGGCTGAGCATTTTTTAGCTTTGTCCACCACCAAGAATCTAACAGCTACTTTAAACCTGTTTTAACACTTGAAGACTTGAAACCGTCTTCCTAACGTGCATTCACATTTTTCATCTTCTACTATTCACCATAAAGTTATCAAGTGTGATACAAAAATATAAATTAAACAAAGAAACGCCTCTCCCTGTTCATTGTTTAAACAGTCAGTCACGTATGGTGAAGGACAACAGTAATTATTATTGATCGCAGCAGCGCTTTTTTTCTTTGCAGAGAAGTAAAGATTTTAGACAAACAAGGAATTTCATGGGATACATGGTTCAACAGAGATGGGACTTTTAATTAGTCTAGCTATAGTACTGAACAGAAACCTAGGGTTATTTTTATTCTCATCTATTAAAGATGAATAATATAAAGTTCTAGCTTTACGGAGAGCTTTCTTATATGTTAGCAGACTATCTTTCCAAGTTAAACAAAATTCTTCAAAGTTAGTGGAGCACCATTTTCTCGAACATTGAAGAATTTTATTTTACTTGGAAAGATAGTCATGCTCTGTTGAGCAAAATACGCTACACAGTATTTAGTTGCTCCCTGCATCTTAATTGTGCAGCATTGTCATGAGCTGAAAGATGTCTGCATGCATTCTCTCCTAATACATTGTTCCAAATTGCCATTTGCAATTAAGGCCATGGCTTGTTCCCAGCACTTTAGGGGTGAAAATTACTGGTAGAAGTGTTTATATGGGCATATAATGGACCAATTATCACAGATACTGAGATGTCCCACAAACGTCTACAGTATATCGGTCCGAAATATTGGCCCCACCGACATATCGGTTGGGCTGTAGTTAACACACTGAATCACAGACTTCAAATCCAATGAATGATGCTAAACTTGTTTGTTATAATGATGTAGTGCAAGTCATTCACTTAGTGTGTGTTTCCAGGAGCACCTGATAGAGAATGAAGTTGCTGTGCTGCGGAAGGTGAAACACCCAAACATCATCATGCTGGTTGAGGAAGTGGACACCCCCTCCGAGTTGTATTTGGTTATGGAGCTTGTCAAGGTACAGCAGAGGCCCAGTGCTGGCTATCATTTGTTCCCTGCATCATTTCTGTGTCTTTGGGGGTGTAAATATATTTACATTTTCATAGGGAGGGGATTTATTTGATGCCATCACGTCCTCTGCCAAGTACACAGAGAAAGACGCCAGCACCATGGTGTACAACCTGGCTGGGGCCTTGAAGTACCTGCACAGCATGAACGTCATTCATAGAGACATTAAACCAGAAAACCTGCTGGTATGCAAACATCTTCACTTAAAAAAAAACCCAATCCACTTCTTTTTAAACTTCAACTGAGTGCTCTGTTTTAGGTGTCTGAACATCCAGATGGCACTAAGTCACTGAAACTTGGAGATTTTGGCCTGGCTACAGTAGTGGATGGTCCATTGTACACCGTGTGTGGGACTCCTACATATGTAGCTCCAGAAATCATTGCAGAATCAGGGTAAGATATCAATGTTAGTTTTATTTACACAGCCCATTTAAAACAATTGAGGGTGACCAAAGCTATTTAAAAAATAAAATCAAATATACATAAACCATGGCAAAAGTAGATCTAACAAAAAAAAAATGTTTGAAATCATTGCTTTAAATCAAAAGACTGAGCTGTATAGATTTTGAAAAGTAATCACTTAAGTTTAGGGCAGCCACTGCAAAACCTTTTCATTTGTATCCTGGGACACCTAGGAGAAACTGTCTCAGTGCCAGAGTATTCATTCTGGTGTATAGAGGTTAAAATTGGTTAAATATGATGACGCACAATCATTTAAAACTTCAAAATATAATAATAAAGTTTTAAATTCAAATTAAAAGCCAACAGGGAGCAAAAGATGGATGTTTTGGACTGATTTGATGGTTTCAATACCAGTTATACTTTGGAAGATGTCCCAGTTTCTCTGACAGGACTATATTGTGAACATAAGCAGAACATAAAGTTTTTATCTACATCAGCTGTTATGGAAAAAAAAGAAATCCACTCATGTTCTAAATAACAAACATTGGAAATATATAGAAAGAAGTTTGTGCTTGGTCATTATGTTTTCATCCTTTCGAGTTGAAGTAATCGTGTATTTAAAACATTTTATTCTGGTACATCGTTGTTCGACTTTATTTCTTCTCTCTTCGTAGTTATGGTCTAAAGGTGGATATCTGGGCAGCAGGTGTGATCACCTACATCCTTCTGTGTGGCTTCCCTCCGTTCAGAAGGTACGTTTATGTTGTTGCTTTGGTCGAGGAAGTTATGTGTACACTATTTTTCCACTTAGCTTTGGGAAAGTTTAGACTTGATTGGATTGAACAACTTGCAAGCAATTCTGTTTTTAAGTGTCAAAACACTTGTTTTTTTATTTACTTTATTTATACATACCAGATTATTTTGCCCAGTTTTGGTCAATATCAGTCAATGATAATGTTCTTGTCAATTGAAATGTTTTGCAAAATAATGATGGTCCTATATTAAGTATTTATTTTTTGGGTGGACAGGATTGTTAATTTTCGTGTACGTGTTCTACAGGAACAGGATTTAACTAAGCAAATGGGTACGAACCTCCTATTGGATAATTACTGCATGGGTGATTATCTTTCAGCTGACGACAAGTTATTTAACCCCAACTGGTGCAATGAGTTGCTTCTCATTTCTTAAAGAACGATGTTGAAAGACACATCACGTGGTCGTGGAAAAGATGTCAGTCTGTTTGAGAAGGGTCAAATCATTGGCATGCATCAAGCAGAGAAAACATCTAAGGAGATTGCAGAAACTACAAACATTGGATTAAGAACTGGCTAACGTATTATTAAAAACTGAAAGGACAGTGGGGACCCATCGTCTTCGAGGAAGAAATGTGGCCGGAAAAAAATGTGGCCTAGTCTACAAGCCTGTGGGGCAGTTCTATGATCTGGGGTTGCTGCAGTTGGTCAGGTCTAGGTTCAGCAACAGTATGTGCTCAAAGAATGAGGTCAGCTGACTACCTGAATATACTGAATGACCCGGTTATTCCATCAATGGATATTTTCCTCCCTGATGGCATGGGCATATTACAAGATGACAATGCCAGGATTCATCGGGCTCGAATTGTGAAAGAGTGGTTCTGGGAGCATGAGACATCATTGTCACACATGGATTGGCCACCACAGAGTCCAGACCTTAACCCCATTGAGAATCTTTGAGATGTGTTGGAGAAGGCTTTGCGCAGTGGTTGATTGATCAGTTCCAAAGAACAATAAAGATCATTACTTAACGTTTGTCACTGTATATGACACAGACCACCAGTCACTGTATATGACACAGACCACTGCTCACTGTTTATGACACAGACTGCTCGCTGCTCACTGTTTATGACACAGACCACAGTTGAATGTATGACACAGACCAGTGCTGACTGTATATGACACAGACCACTGGTCACTGGTTACTGTATATGACACAGACCACTGCTGACCGTATATGACAGGGACCACTGCTGAATGTATATGACAGACCACTGTTGACTGTATATGACACAGACCACTGGTCACTGTGTATGACACAGACCACTGGTCACTGTGTATGACACAGACCGCTGCTGACTGTATATGACACAGACCATTTCTCATTGTATATGACAGACCACTGTTGACTGTATGACACAGACCACTTCTCATTGTATATGACACAGACCACTGGTCACTGTATATGACACAGACCACTGCTGACTGTATATGACACAGATCACTGTTGACTGCATATGACACAGATCACTTCTCATTGTATATGACACTGATCACTGGTCACTGTATATGACACAGACCACTGCTGACTGTATATGACACAGACCACTTCTCATTGTATATGACACAGACCGCTGGTCACTGTATATGACACAGACCACTGCTCACTGTTTATGACACAGACCACTGGTCAATGTATATGACACAGACCACTGCTGACTGTATATAACACAGACCACTGGTC